AAGAAAGAAAGAAAGAAAGAAAGAAAGAAAGAAAGAAAGAAAGAAAGGAATAATAAAGAAAGGCAATGACAGGGAACAGGGAAAGAACTGAGGGCAGGAGAAGCAGAGTGACATAGAAGAAAAGGGAAAGAGCAACCTAGGGAGATGAGATGGCTCAGTCTGAAAGGACTTGCCTCATTAGGCTGATAATCCCCAGAACACGCACGCACGCACGCACACACACACACAAGCCTGGTGGGGCTCAGAGGTTAAGAGCACTGCAGAGCACCTGGGTTTGGTCCCCAGCACCCACATGGCTTAGCACCATCTAATTCCAGTCCCAGGAGATCAACACCCTCTCCTGGACTCTGCAGGCACTGTTCATACATAATGCACACACATGCACGTAGGTTAAACAATCACACACCTAAAAATCACAAAATAATCAAAAGAAAATAAACAGAGGCACAGCTACCCCCTGTGGGGAGGCAATATAGGAAAGACTTGAAGGGCTGACTGGCTACCCAGCCTTGGCAAGTTCCAGGGCAGCAGGAGACCCTTATAAAACAAGCCGACGGCTCCTGCCAAGTGGCAATACCCAAGGCTGGCCTGTGGCCTCCACATGTACCAACACACCCCTGTGTAGGCACACTCATGTGCCCCCCCATATCTCCCCCCCAACAGAGAAGCAATCAAGGGGCTTCACAGTCCAGCACACAGCATGTGCTCATCGCTCTTTCTGCGGCCCCTCAGTGGAGTTATGTACAGGAGGAGATCCTCCCAGCCAGGGTCACACGACCTAGCAAGAGCACTAGCGCTGTCCTTTGTCCCTCTCTATGGCCAAGGTGGTGGGACAGCTTGGCTCCCGCACCCTCACCCAGAGCACGCCCAGGCTTGCCCTCTGCACCTCCCTCCTGCTCCAGCAGCATGGGTCATAATCAGTGGCCAGCCACTTACCCCTGGACCTTCATAGAAGGCACTCTGGGCCTCCACAGGGGCATCCAGGAGGTCATCGCTGTCCAGCTGCAACGAGAACCCCCAAGCCACGGTCAAAGGAGCAGGGCTGGACCAGACTCCAGAGCAGAAATCAATTTAGGACTGAGACAAAAGGAGGCGAGGGCTCTGTGTATGCTGGGGGCAGGAGGGGGCAGCACGCATTCTGTCCCCAAGAATGGGCTGACAGAGGTTGACCACCCTGGGCATTTCCAGTCAATGCCCCTGAGACCCCACCCCCTGCTAGGCCTGCCCCGATCTTGGGACTTGAGCTTCTTGGTTTACACCCAAGTGCTCCTACATGATTCCCAGTCCTCCTGGAATCACATCCTTCAGGGGGCCTGGGTTTGACCCCCAGTACCCATACGGTGGCTTAGAACCACCTGTAACTCCAGCCCCAATGACAGCTGCCCCACGCTTCTCACTAAGACTGGCCCCCTTCTCCCCAATATCTAATCCGTGGTTGCAGGCTTGCTTTTCAGAGGACAGGACCTGCTGACCCCTACACTGAGCCCGGCATAGGCAACAGAGCTTCTGCCTCCCCGAGTGCAGGAGAGATTTAAAGCAGCGCCACCATGCCTGGCCCCCCTCTACTGTGTACACTGCAGTCCACGCGACTGTCCCGTCACACTCTTGAGGGCTCAGCCACACTGAAACCTCTCCTTTAACAGGCAATGCTCACTTTTCCCATCAGAGTGTACATGGCTGTTATCTCTGTCCTTCCTTCCTCAAGGCAGATTCTCACATAGCCCAAGCTGGCCTCAAACTTGCTGGTAGTTAGAGCTGGCTTGGAACTTCTGATCGCCTGTCTCCGCCTCCTGAGTGCTGGGATTACAGGTGTGCCCCACCATGCCCCACTGTATGTGGTGCTGGGGACTCTCAGAGCCCTTAGCCGCATCCATGTGTCAGCGTGACTCAGGGGAGCAGGTCATACTGTGGCTCCCCCCTGGCCCTCCATCACGGGTTTTGTGTGACAAGGGAAGCCAGCTGCCATATCCTGAGGGCTTTTGAACAGTGTGAGAGAGGCCCATGGGAAAGAAGCATAGCATGGGGGCTCTGGCCGTGGCCACAGGAGAGAATCAGAGTAGGTATACCTGCGGACCCCAGGCAAGCCCCGAGATCAGTGGCTCTCAACTTCCTAACACTGTGACCCTTTAAGACAGTTCCTCATGTGCTGACCCCAACCAGAAGATGATTTTCGTTGCCACTTCAGAACTGTAATTTTGCGACTCTTATGAATCATAATGTTAACATATGTATTTTCCCACGGTCTTAGGTGACCCCTGTTTAAAGGGGTCATTCAACTACCAAGGGGTGGAGCCCCACAGGTTGAGAAGCACTGCCTTAGACACTTGCAGCTCCTGTTACATACATTACTGTGGCTTCGGTGGGAGTCCCTGAGCCAGGACCACCCAGCTGATTCCTGACCCAGATTTCCAACATAGCTAAAGCTCAATAAACGATGTGTGAGGTCACCATGTCAGGGTAGCCTCTCATACCGCTAGAGAAAACAAACAGTTCCACAGGTCTGCACGACTGACTGCCACATTCTCCCAGAGAGCTAGCACTGTCTCTGGGACACAAACCAAGCCAGAGCCCCCAACAACTGCTGTCAGCTTCAGAATAAACAATCAGTCATGTGTGGTGGTGCATGCTTTACCGGGGAGGCAGAGGTGGCCAGAACTACACAGAGAGGGACCTTGCCTCAAAAACACAAATGAAAACAAAATCACTGAACCAAGCCTGGCGTACTCAGTGCCTTCTCTGCCTCGGTCTGATCCATGAATTTACCATCTCTCTCGATCCTACCCCTGCTGGAGCACTGCGGTCGCTGTGGTCACCTTTACTGTCACCTCCTCAGAGAGATCCTTTCTGACCACACCAGCTAAAGGAGGTCTCTGTCTGCACACCATGTGCTTGCCTGGTGCCTGAGGGGAAAGGATCCCCTGGAACTGGGTCCTTTGGAAGCGCAGCCAGCATTCTGTCTGTTTTGTCTCTGTGTAGCCCTGGCTGTCCTTGACTCGCTCTGTAGACCAGGCTGGCCTCAGACTCATAGAGATCTGCCTGCCTCCGCCTCCCAAGTGCTGGGATTAAAGACATGTGTCATAACCACGTGGCTAACAGCCAGCATTCTCTACCGCTGAGCCATCTCTCCAGCTCCGGGTTGTGTTTTTTGTTAATTTCTATGTGTGTGCGCGTGTGTGTTACACACGTGTGTGCAGGCGCACTCATGGAGGTCAGAGGAGGACGCTGGAGCTTTTGCTCTATTCCCCTCAGACGAAGGGCTTCCTGCTGAATTTGGAGCTAAGCTAGTGATCAGCAAGCCTCCTGTTTCTTTCCTCTCCCCAAAGAAATAGGGTTACAGGTGCCTGGCTTCTCACATGGGTGCTGGGGATTTGAACTCAGGTCCTCATCCTTACATATGTTATCTTACCTCCCCAACTCCTCTTATTTCTTTCTAGTCATTTTCTGCATGATACTTTTATTTGAGGCAGAGTCTCTCTGTGTCATGCTGGCTATCCCAGCATGGCTATCTATCTCTGTAGATCAGGCTGGCCTCCGACTCACTGAGGACTGCCTGCCTCTGCTTGTCAAGTGCTGGCTGGGATTAATCTAGCATGATACTTTAATTAAATAAGCATATCCAACCTAGCATCATTTCCATGTTAAATACATGCTGAGATATTTTGCTTTTTATTTTTTAACTTTTTAAAGTCACTGACTTATTTGATTAATGGGGAAGATGACTTAGCAAGAAGGTATAGACTTAGGGGATCTGGCTCTCCTTCTGATCCTCCACCCCATGCCTAGGGAATGCCCCTCTCTCCCTATGGCACTCACCTTTTCGGATCCATGCAGGAAATCATTGAGGGCCTGAGGGTCACTGCAAGAAAGAGGGAAAAGAGACCTTTAGAAGCGAGGCTGAGATGTGGAGGGGGAAGGGGTGTGGGAGACGGGCATGGGGGAGGGGGAGCCCGTTACTCACCAAATCACGTCTAGTAAGCATCTCCCATCCTCATCATCCATTTCCACTAGACGGGGCAGGGGTAGGAAGAGGGTGAGGGAGACATGATTAGATTGAGGCAGTCTGCCCAGCTGCCCATCAGGGACGGGGGAGGGGCGCCTGGAGCAGGGGGTCAGAGCAGCTGTGCCTGGAGTGCACAGACTAAATGGAGGGGTGTAAGAATCACCTCCCAGGCATCCTCCCACTAGGAATCCTGACCAGGGGTGGGGCAATGTTCTTACCCTCCCATCCTCATGCCCAGCAGCCCCCACGTCCGATTGATTGACGGTGACATCAATCAGGACGGAGGGGACTCTGGTCATGCATGTTCTCTGCTGGTGCACAGCCGCACAGGCAGTACTGCAGAGGTCTGACTGAATGAACACCCCGGCACCCCGGCTTCAGTGAGGTGAGGAGTTGGTGGTACTTAAACGGCTACCCTCGTGTCTAGTGGGTGGGCTGTGTGAACCCTAGGGAACCCACCCGCTCCAGTCTCCAAGGTGCCGTTCTACTTTATAATGTTCGGGAGTTACAGTCAAGTTCAGAGTCAAAACCCAGACTTGGTGGGTGTAAAGGTGGCACCCGCCTTTGATCCCAGCACTTCAGAGGATGTCTGTGAGTCAGAGACCAGCCAGGCCTGCATGGTGAGACCCTGCCTCAAAAAGCAAAATGACCTGATGCTCTCAGGGTCTCCGCAGACCCGCATCTCAGATGACCGTGAGGCTTCAGAGTGAGTTCGCCAGCCTTGTCTCTGTACACCCCTGAGCCTATGCCCTTCACACCCCACTGTCCTGTGCTCTGAGCACAGTTTGTGGCTCAGAAGGTGTGGCAGGGGTCTGTCCTGAGTATTGGTGGTAGAGGTCAGGGGAAGGGTGGGGTGAAAGCACAGGAGGGCACTGCAGCCTGCGTCCCGAGCGACGCACACCCACACGGTGTGGGTCTCAGGTAAAGGATGGGTGACAGGGGTGATGAATGGATGGGGACTGAGGCAGCAGAAGGGGGATGAGGCATAAGGCTGGGCCAGAGAGGTGGCAGCACCGGGCTGGGCCCACAGCTGAATGATGAGGATGCGGACGGCTAACGTTTGTCTGGAGCTGTCTGGCGCTCACCGCTGGCTAGCACTGTCAGAGCCCATGACAAAGGTTAGCGTGGTCAGCCCCCGGGAGGAGAAAGAGGCTGTTTTGCCCATTGTACCCCGAAAGGACCCATGCACTCTGCATTTTCCCACCTGCCTCCCGCCATACAGCATTCCTGCCTTCCTAACAGCCCCCCAAGCATCTAACCACATGCCCTCAGCCCCGTAAACATTCCTCCAAAGGGGCCTCCACACTGTCTACCTTTTTGAGACAGGGTCTCTCATTGGCCTGGAGCTCACCAATTAGGCTCGGTTTACCAGCTAGCTAATTCCAGGTATCCCATGGTCTCCCCCTGCCCAGCACTGGGATTCCATGCCCTGCTCTTCATATGAGAACCAAATTTAGGTCCTTGCAAGTACTTTATCAACTGAGCTACTTCCTCACTCCCCAGCTGAATTTCTAAGCCTCTGTCCCCACCCCTCTCCATACTTCTAAACATCCATCCATCCTCCTATCTCACTCTATTACGCATCCATTTGATCATCGAAGTATCTATCTGTCCCCACTCTCTTTTTTAACTCCCATGTACTCACCTTTAGAAACACACAGGCAAACACACCCACACACCTTTCCCTCCTTCCAATACATCATCTGCCCACTGGCCTCATGTTGGTCCTTCCCTTCCAGTACCATGAATCAAACACAGTGAAAACCACCATCCCCAAGTTGTGAAAACTTACAGCTCAGGACAAAGCTCCTTTCCTAACAGAACTATCTTCCTGGCCTTTCCTTTCTTTGTTACAGTGCCTCGTAGGTGCTCTACAACTATGCCACATGCCAGCTCCTCACTGGGGGATTCTAGGCAGGGCTCTTCCACTGAGCCACAATGACATTGTCTCAGTACAGAATATAAAGAAAAAGGTGAAGCCTGATGAATATCCTTACTGCAGCTGGACATGGGATACAGGCTGGAGAGGAAGAACTGAACCAGGTTGCTAAATCAGGTTCTGCAAGTCAGATGCCAATGGGCCACAAGTACCCAGAGTTCATGCTCCTCCAAGAGTGAACTGGGGTTGTCCCTGGTTACCTGTGCTATGAACGGATCATGAAGGGAAGGATGGGGTGGCCACTCCAGGTCTACGCAGGGCCCCGGGCTGGGGACTTTGACAGTGTCCTTTGTAGGGCCAGCTGTGGAGAGAAAAGAGAGAAGCTTTGAGTGAGGAAGGTCCTGAGCAGAGAGAAGACATTCCAGGAGGGATGGAAGGAGGAAGGGAGGGAAGGACAGGAAAGAGAGGGAGGCTGGGAAAGACAAGGGAGCACGTTTTCATAACCCTGACACTGGGGAGGCTGAGGCAGGAGGATGGAGAGTTAGAAGCAAGCTACACAGAAAAATTCTGTCTCAGAACAACTTACACAGAAGGAAACACTGCTCCTAAACGGAATTACAGCTAAGAGCCATTATTAACTAGCTGGCTTCCCACAAAGACTAACCATGCAGCCAAGGCAGGACTCAAGATCCTCCCACCTCAGCCTCCAGCCGGGGCTACAGTGTGTTCTACCAGGAGAGCCCCATCAGTAAGTTTTTAAAAGGCGGCAGCAGAAAGAGAGGGGAGGTTGAAAGAGGAAAAGCCACAAGTTTAAAGTCACACAAAGAACTGGGTGTGGTGGCACAAGCCTTTGATCCCAGCACTCAGGGAGGCAGAGGCAGGCGGATCTCTGTGAGTCTAAGGCCAGCCTGGGCTACAAAGGGAGTCCAGGACAGCCAGGGCTACACAGAGAAACCTGTCTGGGAAAACCAAGTCAATAAGTAAGTACATAAATAAATAGAGTCACACAAAGCGATCTTACACACTAGAAGAACATGGCCTACAGTGGGCATACACAGACACACACCACAGCACACACTACCAAATCACTTTCTGATGCTTCAGTTTAATAGCAAACACACAATTCTGGCTCTGCCTTACGATTTCTTGTTCTAGGGATTGAACCCAGATAATTATATTTGAAGTAAATGATCACTTTATCACTGAGCCACACCCATGGCCCCTCTCTTGGGGTCTAGGCAGGTGCTTAGGCACTGAACTGTCATACCCCCAGCCTTTTAGAGCCAGTCCTTTTTTGGGTGGGAAGGAGGGAGGGAATAGAAAAGGCCAGGCTCTCACTATGTAGTCCTGGCTGGCCTGGAATTCATAAAAGCCTGCCTCTGCCTCCCAAGGATGGAGACTAAAGGTGTGTACCACATCTGGCCCTAGAGCTAGTCCACACTATTTGAACAGGTCTATTGTGTTAAGCAGCCACAACAGTCTCTCAAACATGGCAGTCACGTCCTGGGTGAGAAAGGGCCTGGTTTCTGTGTACCTGTGATCACACCTGAGCGGTTCCATCAACCGCTCAGCACAGGCCTTGGATTCTTGCAAAGACACCTAATCTCGGATGTTCTGGTGTTCCCTCACTGAGGTCACCAATGAAGCTCACCTCACACATCGGCTCTCTCCAGCAGACACCTCACAAATGACAAACTGCACTAGTGTCCGGGGTTGGGGTTGGGGACACTTCAAACCAGGAAGTCTTCAGAAAACAAAAGGCTCAGCCACACAGAAAGGCACAGTGCTCCATACCTGTGAGCCCATCTCCTGGAATACAGAGGCAGGAGGATGGTGAGTTTGAGGCTAGCCTGGGGTACAGGGGTGAGACGGCTCAGTGGGTCAAGCCTGATGACATGAGCTCAATCAAGGGGGAAACACACGGTGCAAGGAGGGAACCAGCTCCCACAGGCTGTCCCATTACCTCAGCCTTCTGTCTGGCTATTATGGCAGGAATGTGAAGACAACAGCTCTGGCAGAGGTAGTTTTGAGCACGTTCCCACGGACTCACACAGCTCCTATCAAAGGCCCTGTGGCACAGGCCCTCTCTTCCTGAGGTCCAGGTGTGCTGCCGGAGACTGCAAGGGGGCGCCAGGTTTTAACACACTACCAAGGTGGGTCCTCCATCACAGTCCCTATACCTGGCTTCTGGCTTGGCCCAAGCTCTGCAAACACTGCCTCCAAATGGATTCCCAGAAGGTACTTAAGCACAGAGTTGTCTGTGGAAACGGTTTCTTATCTTGTTGTCTTCACACTTATTTAATCGGTAGGGGTGGGGTATGCACACAGGTGTGCGGAGGTCAGAGGGCAACGAGTAGGAGTCAGCTCTCTCCTGCTACCATGTTGCTCCCAGTGATTAAATCCAGGTTAGTGTCAGTGAGCCATTTTGCCACCCTTGTCTTTTGTGTGTGTGTGTGTGTGTGTGTGTGTGTGTGTGTGTGTGTATAATATATATATTATATACTCACAAAATTAAATATATATCTTTAATTTTCAATTAAATTCAATTATATTTTAATTTTCAAGACAGGGTTTCTCTGTGAAGCCCTGACTGTCCTGAAAATCACTCTGTAGAGCAGGCTGGCCTTGAGATCAGCCTGCCTCTGCCTCCCAAGCACTGAGATTAAAGGTGTTCGAGACCATGAGACAGCTCTCCCAATCCCTTTTGTGACACAGGGTCTCATTTTGTTGCCCCGGCAATCCTGGGGTTCACTGTCGACCACTAGGCCCTTGAACGCAAAGAAAGGCACCTGCCTCTGCCTCCTTCTGACCCGAGGGCTGGCATTAAAGGCGTGTGCCACCACACCTGGCCTGGTTTAGGTTTTTGAGAGGTGAATCACAGGGGCCTTACATTAATGGCAATCCCCCATCTCAGCCTAAGTGCTGTGATTCCGAGAATGTACCATCATGCACAGCCTTGCTATGTTCCCCAGGCTGGCCTCGCCTTCTCAGGTTCCAGTCATCATCCTGTCTCCAGGAGCAATCCCATGGCAGGTTTAACTGCTGGACATTCATTATTCTTAGGTTTTCTTTGTGGTAGTCATGTTTTTGTGTATTTGTTTTGACACAAGGTCTCACTATATAGCTCTGGCTCTCCTGGAACTAAGAGATCCACCTGCCTCTGCCTCCCCGTGCTGGGATTAAAGGTGTGCACTTAGCCTGGTGTTGGTGATGCGAACCTTTAATCCCAGCACTGGAGAGGCAGAGACAGGTGGATCTCCAGAGTTCGAGGCCAGCCTGGTCTACAGAGTGAGTTCCAGGACAGCCAGGGCTTCCCAGAGAAAACCTGTCTCGGATAAACAAACAACAACAAAAATGATGTGTGTCTTCACTACACCTGGCTTTGCAGTGGTCAAGGTATTAAAAAAAAAAAAAAAAAAAAAAGAAAAGAAAAGAAAAAAATAAGGAAGGAAAGAAAAAAGAAAGAAGGCTCAGTCAGGAAAGTGGGGCTTTGCAAGCATGAGGGCCTGAGTTCGATCACTAGCACCTATCCCACATAAAAATCTGGGTGTGGGTGTGGGAGAGATGGCTCAGAGATTTAGAGCACTGGCTATTCTTCTAAAGGTCCTGAGTTCAATTCCCAGCAACTTCATGGTGGCTCACAGCCATCTATAATGAGATCTGATGCCCTCTTCTGGCATGCAGGCACACATGCAGGCAGAATACTGATAAATAATAAATAAATAAATCTTAATTTAAAAACCCTGGGTGTGGCAGCACACATTTGTAACCTCACCATGGGAAAGGCAGAGGCAGAGGATCTCTGGGGTTTGCTGGCCATGTAGCTTCATGTGTTGGTGAGCTGAGGGATCACTGAGAGACTGTCTCAAAGAAGGACGACAGCACAGGTTGTTCTCTGGCCTCTAGACACACAGAGCAAGTGTGTGTGTGTGTGTGTGTGAGAGAGAGAGAGAGAGAGAGAGAGAGAGAGAGAGAATTGTTCCCTAACGAGGGGGTGGAGGTGGAGATGTGGCTCAGTGGTAGAGCCCCTGCCTAGAATGCCCAGTAAGGGGCTGAGGGGTGTGGCTCAGTGGTAGAGCCCCTGCCTAGAATTCCCCAGTGAGGGGCTAGGGGTGTGTGGCTCAGTGGTAGAGCCCCTGCCTATAATCTCCCAGTGAAGGGCTGGGGTGTGGCTCAGTGGTAGAACACTTGCCTAGAATCCTTCAGTGAGGAGCTGGGGTGTGGCTCAGTGGTAGAGCCCCTGCCTAGAATTCCCTAGTGAGAGGCCGGGGGTGTGGCTCAGTGGTAGAACACCTGCCTAGCAAGCACAGGGATCCTGGGTTTGATCTCCAGAGAAAATACACAAAGGGCCAAGAGCACACAAAAGGATGCCCAGCATGACTCATCATGGTGGGGGGGGGGGAAGCACTCAAAGCCCCAAGGAGGAAAGGCCCCACACCCCTCAGAGTGGCTACCATGAAGAAACTGGGAAGTAGCAAGTCTTGGCAGGGCTGTGGGAAACCGGAGCCCTTGCTCACTGCTGGCAGGAGCGCAACCCTGTTGGCTGCTGTGGAGCAAGGTTTGGCAGTTCCTCAGAACATTAAAAATAGCACTAGCGCTCAGCACAGTATCTCTCCACTTCTGGGCGTGTGTGCAGAGGAATCAAGTGTCTTAAAGAGGGATCTGTACAACAGAGGCCATCAGTGCTTTTCACAGCAGCTCAGAGGATGGCACAGATGGATAAAGAAATGTAGTGTGTGTCTGTAAGATGGAACATTCAGGAAGCTCTAACATGAACACACAGATCAATACTTCTCAACCTGTGGGTCATGACCCCTTTGGTAACCCTCTATCAAGAACATTTACATTATGATTCATAGTGTAGCAAGATTACAGCTATGAAATACCAATGGAAATAGTTTTCTGTTTGGGGGTCCACAACATGAGGAACTACATTAAAGGGTCAGCATTAGGAAGGTTGGGGAACACTGACACAGATGGGCCCCGAGTGTGGGAAGGTTTGAAGAGGCACAGAAGCTGACATAGTGGCTTATGCCTGTAATCCCAGCACTGGGGAGGCAGGGATCAGAAGTTCAAGTTCATCTTCATACACACAGTGAGGTCAAGGCTGCCCCAGACTGCACAAGGGCCTACTTCAGAAAAAACACAAAACCAAAGCAAAAGGTCTCAGTGAGTAAAGTCACCCACCACAAAGCCTGGCATCTGTTTTTAATCCCTCTACATGTGTACATACATGTACAAAATAAATCAAACTGTGGCTGGAGAGATAGCTCAGGGGTCAAGAGCTCGGACTGCTCTTCCAAAAGACCGAAGTTCAATTCCCAGCGTCCACACTGCAGCTGACAACCATCTGTAATTCCA